CCCCCTGGGGGGGTGATTTCTCGCTTTCTGTCTCTATGTCTCTCTCTGTCTGTCTGGCGAGCGCACGTGCCCTACAGTGAAAATCTCTCAAAAAGGAAAAGGAAAAGAAGATCTACACATGGCCAATAAGCACATTAAAAAAAAGTTCAACATCAGTAGCTGTCAGGAAAATACAATTCAGAATGACGATAAGATACCATACACACTAGGATAGCTGTAATAAGAAAGTTAGATCATAACGGGTATTGGTGAAATATGGATAAATTGAAATCCTATACCATTAGTGCAGTGTAAAATAGTGCCACCATTTTGAAAGATGGTTGGTTGGTCCTCAAATGGTTTAAACAGAATTAACCACATGACCCAGCAACCCCACTTGTACATATGTAACCAAGAGAAACCAAAAACATACATCCATACAAAACCTTACACCTGGGGCTAGGAGGTGGCATGATGGTTAAGGCGCCTGGACTCCCACATGGCTGACCATTGTTGGAGTCCCAGACCTGGTGGTGGCTTGTTTTCTCACTCTCTTTCTCTTTCTTTCTCTCTCTCTGGGGAGCACCTATGTCCTGTAGAAATTAAGAAAATAATAATAATAATAATAATAATGATAAATAAAATTAATCTTTTTTGAGAGGGAGAGAGATTTTTGCTATAGTATATGTGCTCACCAGAGACACAAAGAGAAAGTGAGAAATCACCCCTTGTGGAGATGGCTACACCACAATCCTTTCTCCTCTTTTCTCCTCCCGGGATGCTGGGCACACGCACACACGCACCCGGCGTGCGTTTCAGGTCACCAGGTCTGGGACTCAAACCGTGGTCAGCCATGTGGAAATCCAGCACCTTCACTGTTATACCACCTGCTGGCCACATAAAGTTGTTATTAAAAAAAAAAGTAGGGCCATCCTGAGGCCTTTTGGTCATGTGAGCTGAATTCTATATGGCTGGACACGTTTCAATCCATGACCTAGAGACTGGGTGCGTGTGCACGTGTGCCCAAAATCCCAAATGAAGGAAGAAATGGGGAGAAGGGATTGCAGGATGATTTCTCTCATGGGGGAGGTGCTTTCTCAATGTTTCACTCTCCACCCCCATTTCCACCCCCAAATCAAGCGCACCTGCCCTCTGGCAAAATTTAAGAAAAAAACAACAACAACAACAACAACAAAACAGATACTTGAAAGCAATCTAAATGTTGAACTATAAGGAAATGGTAAGTCTTTAAAAAAAGGGAGGGGGTAATATGCAATCACTAAAATCATATTTTCAAATAACTTTTTAAAAAATAATTATTTTTATTTAACTTTTTACTTATTAACTTGACCAGAGAGGGACAGAACGAGAGAGAAAGTGAAAAGGCAAGCCACTAGGTCTGGGTTTCAAACCATGGTCAGCCATGTGAGAGTCCAGCACCCTTAACCACCACGCCACCTGCCGGCCCCTCAAAGAACTTTTACAATCAAGGAAAATCTCATGATAGCGTTGTTGAGAACACATGATGACTTCTATGTGCCACTGTGCAGAAAAAGGTTACTATTGCACATCTGGGGCTGCTGCCCTTAGGGAGGTCTGCTTGCAGGGTTGGCTCCTTTGGCATCTGGGAACCTGGCCCTTGCAGTGTTCCCACCATTTCCTAATAGATAAGGTTGTTTTGTTGTGCTTACACTGATGGCATGAACAATGTGGTTTATGATGAACACCTGCTTTTCTTCTGGAGTCTGGAATTTTGGTACGTGCTAGGCAGAGGCTGCTTTTGTGACCAGTCCCCAATAAAACCCCTGGGCGTTGACTCTGTAATGGGCTGCCTTGGGCAGAGAGGTGGCATTACTGTTGGTGCATTGATGTTGCTAGGGGAAGAATGTGCTCTGTGTGACCTGTCAGGGGAGGGAGCGAGCACATGGATTCCTCCATTGTACCCACTCGTTGCCTGCGTCTTTCTCCCTGGGATCCCGTGATGTGTTGGTACCAAGCTGTTGTAATAAATCATAGTCATGAGTCATAGGCTAGGTCCTGGGAGGGCTCGCGAATCTCCAGATGTGAGGGTGGTCTTGGGGACTCGCAGCGTAGCTACCATGGAGAGTAACAGCATGCGTGTCACATAGATGGGAAGCCAGAGACCAGTTCACAGCTGTTTTGGAGTTGTGTTATTGGGAGGGACATTTCTTGTTTATACTTTTCATTATTTTTTTAAAAGAATGATTTTACTTAACTATTTTTTTTTTATTATTATTTCATTTGACCAGAGAAAGACAGAGAGAAAGAGAAAGTGAGAAAGCAGGCTGCCAGGTTCACCACGAGAACCGCGGTCAGCCATGTGGGAGTCCGGTGTCTTTAACCACCATGCCACCTGCCGGCCCCTGTGCTTTTCAATATTTTATACATGTTGTATGTTGATGCTACTTTTGTTTTCCAAAAAGGTTATCTTATAAGTTAAACATTTTCTGTTATATTAAACATGATTATCCTTTTAGGGTGGCTGACCTTGTCTAAAGGGGTATCTCTTATTTTTCCTTAGGGTTGTAACCCTCTTGCACAAACCGGCCGGAGCAAATTGCAGAATCAAAGGGCTGCTTTGAACCAGCAGATCCTGAAAGCCGTGCGGATGAGGACAGGAGCGGAAAACCTTCTGAAGTAGGTGTCTTCTCACTTTCCTGTCTCGGCTGGGAGCCTGGTCTCTCCTGAAGCCTATTCCGTCTTCCCTGAACTCTGGGGCCTGGCTCTTGGTTTTGGCTTTGGGTTTCTTCCTCATTTCCGGCACCTGGAGGAGCCCCCTTGCCTAGAGCTTGGTTACGTCAAAGACAAGTATTGTATCCAGCCCGATAATGTTCTGGAGGTTTGGAGAGGAAAGGGACCGACCACAGGGTGACTGGCCTCAATTCAGGCAGCCATCTTGGTCACAAGTCCATTGGCCATCTTGTTGGCTTTTCCTGCTCTTTGTAACATTTATTTTCTCCATTGCCGGACACTGTGCCACATGTAGATTCTCTGCCTGATAAATGTTTGTCGAGGAACAAGCAGATAGCATAATGGTTATGTCCCTGGACTCTTGCATGCTGACCATGGTTCGAGTCCCAGACCCAGAGGTTTGAAACTCACGTTGGGCATATGTGTGTGCATGCCCAAAATTCCAAGAGGAGAATGGAGAAGAAGGGATTGCAGTGTGGCTATCCCCTCCTCCCCCGGAGGGTGATTTTGTACTTTCTGTCTCTCTGTCTCTCTCTCTCTGGCAAGCACATGTGCCCTATAGCAAAAATCTCTCATTAAAAAATATTCTGTCAGATGTATAAAGGATAACTAGAGAGACAGGAAAGAGGGAATGGACATTTCTACTGCCAATGTCCACCTTCCTCAGGAGGTGGGGCCCAGTCCAGTCCTGGGACCTCAGAGCACTCATTATGCTCTGGTGGTAAGATGGTTACTTATCAACACAGAACTCCGGGAAGCCTCACCTGTGTCTAGGCCAGCTTCCTTTTGTTTACCCAAAGCACAGTTTTCTTCTTCCTTAGGAGTTCTAGGGGTAACTTGTCAGCCTACATCCATGGGAGTCGAGGTGCGCACCCGCCTGTTGTCCGGGTGAGTGAGCCAGATACCCTCGGAGCCCCGGGAAGAGATGTGGAGTACTTTCTGGACCGGAACCTGAAAACTCTGCAGGGAAGGGACTTACTTGGCCTGCTTCATACTGCAGTTCCCTTAGAGCTCCCCAGAATTTTTGAGGATTCTGGGGACAGGATGCCAGAATACCTACAAAGATACTGATAATAGGTCAGTCTCAGTGTTAGGGAATAAAGAGGCTTCTCAGGAGGTTGTTGGGGGATAAATACACCAGCTGAGTGCTGGCAGAGGCTCCCAACTTCTGTGGTCACTGACTCACATGAGCGCAGGGTCAGCTCCCTGTGGGCAGCTCCCCTGAGCACCCGGTAAAGGAAGAGGTGGGTTTCTGACCAGGAACTTGGGATAAATTCAATTTCTGAATTGGTCTGTATTTGCTTCTTATGAAAGATCTCTGACATAGTAAGTGCTGAAAGGGAGGACAGGGTGTTGAAAGGGCTTATTCCTGTGCTTTTAATATGCACGGACGTTTTGCAAAAGGAGGATGAAAGAAGCTGTTAGAGTAGTAGAGTTTGATTCTTAAGAGCAAGACCAGGGGGACCAGCAGTTAGCGTAATGGCTATGTTGCTGGAATCCCATGTAGTCGACCGCAGTTTGCGTCCCGGACTCAATGGCTTAAAACTCACGCCGGGCGCGTAAGTGTGCATGCCCAAGATCCCGAGAGGAGAATGGAAGAGAAGGGATTGCAGTGTGCCCATCCCCTCTGGGGGATGATTTCTTGCTTTCTGTCTCTCAGTCCCTCTCTGTCTGGTGAGCACGCATGCCCTATAGCAAAAACCTCTCCAAAAATAAATAAATAAATAAATAAGGGCATATGCGTGTGCATGCCCAAACTTCCAAGAGGAGAATGGAGAAGCAGGGATTGCAGTGTGGCTATCCCCTCCTCCCCCGGAGGGTGATTTTGTACTTTCTGTCTCTCTGTCTCTCTCTCTCTGGCAAGCACATGTGCCCTATAGCAAAAATCTCTCATTAAAAAATATTCTGTCAGATGTATAAAGGATAACTAGAGAGACAGGAAAGAGGGAATGGACATTTCTACTGCCAATGTCCACCTTCCTCAGGAGGTGGGGCCCAGTCCAGTCCTGGGACCTCAGAGCACTCATTATGCTCTGGTGGTAAGATGGTTACTTATCAACACAGAACTCCGGGAAGCCTCACCTGTGTCTAGGCCAGCTTCCTTTTGTTTACCCAAAGCACAGTTTTCTTCTTCCTTAGGAGTTCTAGGGGTAACTTGTCAGCCTACATCCATGGGAGTCGAGGTGCGCACCCGCCTGTTGTCCGGGTGAGTGAGCCAGATACCCTCGGAGCCCCGGGAAGAGATGTGGAGTACTTTCTGGACCGGAACCTGAAAACTCTGCAGGGAAGGGACTTACTTGGCCTGCTTCATACTGCAGTTCCCTTAGAGCTCCCCAGAATTTTTGAGGATTCTGGGGACAGGATGCCAGAATACCTACAAAGATACTGATAATAGGTCAGTCTCAGTGTTAGGGAATAAAGAGGCTTCTCAGGAGGTTGTTGGGGGATAAATACACCAGCTGAGTGCTGGCAGAGGCTCCCAACTTCTGTGGTCACTGACTCACATGAGCGCAGGGTCAGCTCCCTGTGGGCAGCTCCCCTGAGCACCCGGTAAAGGAAGAGGTGGGTTTCTGACCAGGAACTTGGGATAAATTCAGTTTCTGAATTGGTCTGTATTTGCTTCTTACGAAAGATCTCTGACATAGTAAGTGCTGAAAGGGAGGACAGGGTGTTGAAAGGGCTTATTCCTGTGCTTTTAATATGCACGGACGTTTTGCAAAAGGAGGATGAAAGAAGCTGTTAGAGTAGTAGAGTTTGATTCTTAAGAGCAAGACCAGGGGGACCAGCAGTTAGCGTAATGGCTATGTTGCTGGAATCCCATGTAGTCGACCGCAGTTTGCGTCCCGGACTCAATGGCTTAAAACTCACGCCGGGCGCGTAAGTGTGCATGCCCAAGATCCCGAGAGGAGAATGGAAGAGAAGGGATTGCAGTGTGCCCATCCCCTCTGGGGGATGATTTCTTGCTTTCTGTCTCTCAGTCCCTCTCTGTCTGGTGAGCACGCATGCCCTATAGCAAAAACCTCTCCAAAAATAAATAAATAAATAAATAAATGAGCAAGACCAGGGTGGGTGGTGAGGTGACTTTTCATTTTCATTTTACTCCCTTCAGCAATTTGAATTGCTTTCATCAAGTGCATGATTTATTTATTTATTTATTTATTTATTTATTTATTTATTTATTTATTTATTTTTGCCAGTGGGAACATGTACTCTGATATCAGAGAGAAACAGGAGAGACAGAGGGAAAGGGAGAAAGCACCACACCATGGGGCATGGTCACACCACGATCCCTTCTCCGTCACTTCTCCATCCTGTCAGGATCTGGGGCTCGTGCGTGCATGTGCACACACTCACACACACACATGCCTGTGTATTTTTCAAGCCACCAGGGCCAGGATTCATGCCGTGGTCAATCATGTGGGATCTGACTCCCTTTATCATCGGACTACAGAGCTGGCCAGCACAAATTGGTTTTATTCTTTTTTATTATGAAATACTGAAGAAATCTAGATGAATAATATGAGGGAGACTCAAAAAGTTCATGGAGAATGCATATCATGGGGGGAAAAAAAACCTGCTTTCGATTTTTGCACTAAAATAAATTTGTACTTTAATTCCATTTTTCCACAAACTGAAATCCCCTCTTAAAAGCAACTCCCATGCCACTCAGTCAGAAATAACAATGCCGCTCCTGTGTCTGTTTTGTTGCTGTCAAAATAGCAGAGGACAGGAGGTCCTGGGCAGGGAAGTGGCTGGGAACGTCTCCAGATCCTTTCGTCACAAGGGAGGCGATTACTGGAGCAGACTGGGAAGATATTGGAACATTGTGGTGTTTTCTGTTTTGTTTGACTGTAAGGTTTTTGCCATAGGGTGCGTGCACTCACTGAAGAGAGAGAGAGAGAGAGAAAGAGAGAGAGAGAGAGAGAGAATGAGAAATGACCACCCAGGGGGGTTGACCAATCCACAGTGTCTTCTCCTCCATTCTCTTGGGATTTTGGACACACATGCACACGCACTGGGATGATTTTCAAGCCCCTGAGTCCTGGACTCAAACTGTGGTTGATCCTGTGGAGGTCTGGCACCTTAACCACTATACTACCTGCTGACCAGAGAACATCATAGCTTTAAAAATGTCTGTTACTGTTCCTGTTCCTGGTCAAGTCTGGACCTTGGAATTGTCTGTCCCCTGCAGCACAGGGACCTCCTGTGGCCTGTAGGACTTGGGAGAGGCCCCTAGTTTCAGGCCTCGCTTGTGCTGGGCTGGCATGCCGGGAAAGCCGTAGTGTGTTTTGTGGCTTCAGGTTCTGTTTGACACTTTGACAGGCCAGCTCTGCGGCCAGGGGGCAGATGGGCGGGCCTCTTTTGTGGCCTCCTCAGGAGTGGGTAGCAGTTGCTTTGTCTGTTCATGGGTTTGATGAGCACCTACAGGTGGTGGGCAGTGTGTGACTGCAGGGGACAAGGACACACCATTCAAGGGAGGCCCTGCTCTGGTTCTGCTTCACGTCTTGTTGGCTGGGGTGGGGAGAGGAACCTTAATACACAAGTAAACAAACCCAATCACGGCAGGAAGTGAGTTTTCTAGGCCGTGATAAAATGGGAATGTTAGAGGGTAGCATGACCTTAGAGGCAGAGGGTGGTCAGGGAGGCCTCTCGAACAGGGCGCTTGGAGTTTCTCAGGCGGAATCTGGGGCAGTGTCGCCTGCCTCGTTCTGCTCCAGCAACAACCTCTCTGCCGCCCAAGCCTGGCTTGAGCCTCGGTCAAGCTGGCAACTGTGGGGGCGGGGTGGAGTTGTTAATGATTCTCACAGTGACCTAAAAGTTCAAAGTACCCCTCTCTGAAGAATGTTGTCAGAGGAAACCCTGAAGGTATTTATTAATCTGACTCAACTGACTCCAACGGTTTCCCAAAAACAAACAGGACGGTTGGCCAAGCCCAGCTCTGGCCC